TCTAAATAATGATATTTCTGTCTAGGTCCTCTTCACCCTTACGTGAAGAGTTACAGGTGTTCTCATTGGGATGCTGTCAGTACTTATTGGGGTAGAGAGAGCTAAGGGGGTATGGATGGGGCACTGGCAGCGTGAGCCACGCTTCCTCATTGCCTCCTATTAAATCCCATAGCCACCCATTCCTCCCAACCCCCACTGGGTTTTGATGGAACTATATGCCTTTAGTACATTCTACCTTATCTTGTGTGTTCATGTTTTCCTCTTACTTTCCTGTAAGCTCCCGGAGGCAGGAACCATGTCTGATTCATCTTTTTATCCTCCCTATGGCTTAGCAGAGGTCCTGTCACAGAGAATCTATTTACTCAATAAATGTTTGCAGAACTGAATTGTGGGGGATACCATTGCTCCCTAGGGCACCATTATATCAGATCCATTCTTTTTTAACACCGTCAAAAGATACTGTCATAACATTGTCATTGATTCAGAGAATCCATTTCCAGAATTTCATCTATTAAAATTCAAAAAAAATTTTTATCACAGGAATAGATCCACATGGTAGGTAACAAGTCATATAATCCAGAAGCATTTATTGACAAAAAGCAACAGCCTTTCATCTGCATGTACTCTTCTCTCCAGAGACCTTCTTTTCAACTATTTCTGTTTGTTTCCATTGGCCTCTAAACAATACAGTTGCCTTGAACAACACAGAGAGTTAGGGGCACGGAACCCCTGTGCAGTTGAAAATCTGCATATGATTTTTGACTCCCCAAATACTTAACTATTAATAGCCTACTGTTGACAGGAAGCGTTACCAACAACTTGTAAGTGGACCCGTGGAGTTCAAACCTGTTTTGCTCAAGGGTCAAATATACTCACATCTCTATTTTTTTGGTTTTTTACTGCAAGCAATTTTTATTTTTTATTTTTTTTCTATAAAAGATGAAGATTTAATTTGGGTACATGAGCACTTTTCCTTCTGTCTTACTCTCCCAATAGTTGGTATGTTTGTTTTTAGTTCTTTAAAAATTACATTTATACCTTTATAGAATATAGTTTAAATGCTATTCCTCTCTTCCCATTTCTTATTTTGTCAATGTTATTTTTCTACATTCTTTGTAAGATGAGGACCTTAGTGTCTCATTGTTTCTTTTGTCTCAGCTTACCCTTCTTCCTCCCCTTTTCTGAGGACTACCTTTTATTTTACATTGCCAAGATGGTTACAGCTACATTCTGTTCTTCAGACACAGTCAACTTGTTCTTTGCTGTTAGATTGACAATAAAGTTGAATATAAACCAGTGTCCTTGTTATTACAATGATGTGATTATCCTTTATGCCTGGACCAAAGATTGAGCTAGGATTACGTTTTCTTTTCTATGGATATAAGGCCACAACCCTTGGGTCATTCAAGTAAGAATATCAAAGCATCAAGGTTAAAAGATTTTTATATTCTTACATCAGTTGCTTAAAATCGTGACACATTTAATTACTTTCATATTTAGACCATGACTTTCTTTTAATTTTTTTGAGCCTGGAGTTTCTGATTGCCCCTTGCGGCCAAAAAAAAAAAAAAAAGTTCCTTTATTGTATTTTCAGTTTTTCCACCCTCTCAATGAAGTCATTACTGAGTGTATTTCTTTGGTACATCCTCTTTTCTAAGACCTCTTGGAAGGTATGGGATGGGGGAGGGTTGGGGATACTTGAACTGCCATGTTGAACCACAAACACTCTACATGTTTAATTAATTAATTAATTTCAGATTTTATTTATTTATTTGCCAGAGAGAGAGCACGTGCACAAGCAGGGGGAGTGGCAGGCAGAGGGAGAAGATGTGGGACTTGATCCCAGGACCCTAGGATCATGAGCTGAAGGCGGATGCTTAACCACTGAGCCACCCAGGTGTCCCTGAAATTTCTTTTTAAAAAATAAAATTCTGTGAAATGTGATTGTGACCAAGAATTATCCCAGGTTCTGAACGATTCTCATGCCAGGCCAGATAACCTCTCTGTCTCATATTGGGCTTGCTCATATTTTCACTTTTGTTATTCATTGTGCCTTCAATTTCTTATCAATAAAATGGGGATACAAAATTCAAACTATGTCACAGGAAGAATGACTAGGAAGTATAATTCTTGGCCATTCATTTCTTGGGGGAAAAATCTATCTACAATAGCTATATATATGCAAATTAAATACATGAGCCATCTATAAGCCTATTAGGTTTATAAGAGAATACATTGTAGGAGAGCTCTCTCTGTGAACAGTACAGGGATATTATAAAGTACGTGTCATTTTTATTTCTGTGGTAGGGGCCATTAATTCATGATCCTCTGTCCTTGGCGTGGAGCACAGTCTGATATCAGCTTCAGGATCAAGACTGCCCAGTTCCTGAGGATGGAGGCTGGAGCCTCAGGTAGGGTTAGATGCCATGTTGACCCAAACATCTGACCTTTGGAGGGCACAGTTCTCTCTCCTACTTCTCAGTCTAGTGAAACGTCCTCGTTTGGGCTTGGTTTTTTCCTTGTATGGAGAGGTAAAAACTCCTGGACTATCACAGGCTTTCTTCACTTCAAAAGGAGCAAAAATCTCATTAAATCTACAGGATCTTGTCCTCTACTCTGAAGCCAACCAGGTAGTTTTGGGTTACTCAGAAGTTAAAATGATTTGGAGGTTACTGCCCACTCTCCCTGTCCCTTCTAGTCTCAGCGTAAGGGTGGCTTTCTGAGGGCGTGCTCTCCTGGCTCCATAGAATAGGTAAACTAGGTCAAATCTCTTTGCAACAACTCTCTGAATTGGTCGGGATCCTTTCTCCTTCAAACAAGGGGCAGATACTCAAGTCAAGCTTGTTTAAGCAGAAAGGGAATTCCCTGAATCACGTAATTGAGAAGACTGTGTAGCATTTGTGGATAGAGCCATGGTGAATATAGAATCTGAATTTATGTCATGTAGTTTCTCTGTCATCTCGTCTTACCTTTGCCACTCTGCTGCCGCCTCCTACCCCCCTTCCCCTTTTCTCCTCCCTCTTCTTCATCCTCTTTTTTGTCTTTTTCTTCTTTCCTTCCGTCCTCCCTCTTTCCTCCCTTCGTTTAAAAAAAAAAGTTGGTTCTTTTTGTTTTTGTTTTTTAGCATTTTGTACCACTGAAGTTCTTGCTCCAGTTTACATTAAACTTGTAGGCCACAGTCATAGAAGTGGCAATTATACCATTCTCCCAGATTCATGTATCAAACTCCAGAAAAGACGCTCATTGGCCTTTTTCATATTAAGTGCCCACCCATCAAGGGGATGGGGTATACTCGAACTGCCGAAGTCTGATTCAGAAGAATATTTTGTTGTTTGACAAGAGGGGTTCTGTTGTCCAAAGAAGGGGGGAAAGGTGGTGGATATACAAAATAATAGTATCCATTTCCATCAGACCGTGAACTTGCTACTCTATTTCTATACCATGAAGCGAATGAAGCTTGAAGCTTTAAGGTCCCGTACTTGCCTGCACCCCCTTATAAAATTTATGAGTAAAATATTTTAAGTGCAATCCATTAAGACTGATGTCTCTATTCACTCTGACTTTCCCTTCCCCTCCACAACATTTCCTTCCTGTTGAGTAGCTTTGGAGGGACTGCAGGCAATCTTCTATAACTAAGTTGGGGATACATTTTAGTTTGAGGTTAATGAGATAACTTTATGTAGTCTGCAGTCACCTATGCATATGGCTAAATTATTGTTCACAGTCCCATGATAGAACTGGCTTTCAAGTGTACTTCTGCTGTCTGCTGTAAAAGCTGATGGGGTGATATAATATGACAGTGCAGGGCCAGGGTTAAATCAATATTTGGAATGGGTCCTTTAGTACCCAGTACCAGAATTATATGGGCAGGGGATGAGAAGCAAAGCTTCTCTAAAAAGCTCTTCCAAATCTTATAGCTCACATGTGAAACCACATGTGAAAACAACTTAATAGAGGTTTTCCAAGATAGGACAAGTTGTTGTTTTTTGTTTTTTGTTTTAATTTTCTCAACATACTGATAATAAACTGTGAAGCTTAAAGAAATAATCAATTAAAAATTTTGGGGGCACCTGGGTAGCTCCTCTGGTTAAGTTTCCGACTCGTGATTTCAGCTCAGGTCTGGATCTCAGGGTCATGAGTTCAATCCCCCCAAACTGGGCTCCACACTAGGCATAGAGCCTACTTAAAAAAATTTTTTTTTTAAATTAACCATACGAAGAAAAACTGAATTATCTTTCTCTTCTTTCCATTGAAAATCATGTTATAAAGTTGTCATCATATTGAAGAGGCAGTCAGAATATATACAAAATACATGGGGAAAGAAATATAAATATTATAATATTTTTTCTGGATTAAAAAAATTTGTAACTGTGATTTTTTTTACTCATTCTTTTTTTTTTAAAGATTTTATTTATTTATTCATGAAAGGCAGAGAGAGAGAGAGGCAGAGGGAAAAGCAGGCTCCCCGCTGAGCAGAGAGCCCGACGTGGGACTCTATTCCAGGACCCCGGGATTGTGACCTGAGCTAAATAAAGGCAGACGCTTAACCATCTCAGCCACCCAGGCACCCTTTTTTCCCTCATTCTTAATACATATTTACATTTTGCTTTGGAGGCAGTAATGAAATACAGCATTTATTGAGTCCTTCTGTGCCAGACACTTTTTTTTAGAATTTATTTTTTAGTTTACCTATTTTGAAGGTGTACTATTCTGAGTTTGACAAGTGCTTTTGTATCTTAATTTTGTATTTACTTTTTTTTTAGAGAGACAGAAGGGGGGAGGGTAGGAGGGGCAGAGGAGAGGGAGAAAGGGAGAATGTCAAGCAGACTCCACGCCCAGCGTGGAGCCTGTCACAGGGCTCCATCCCACAACCCTGAGATCATGACCTAAGCTGAAATCAAGAGTCGGGCATTTAACCTACTGAGCCACCCAGGTGCCTCATAATTTTTTATTTACTTTTGTATCTAATTTTATATTTATAATTTTGTGTTTTTTAAAAGAGGGGCCCGGGCATCAGTGTGCAGCCAGTGTTGAGAACCACTGCTTTGGGAGGTTGTCACAGAAGCCCAGGTAAGAGATGATGGCCATCTGGATGAGGAGAGTAGCAATGGAGATGAATTTGAGATCTATTTTGAGATAGAATAGACATGCTTGGCTGATGATGGGGAGGTAATGAATGGGAAGAATCAAGGATCACTCCCAGGTTTCTGGCTTGGACAACTATTAGCAATGGTTCTCCAACTCCAGCACGCTCCAGAATCACCCTGAAGGCTTGTTAGGACACAGATTGCCTGACACCACCCCCAGAGTTTGTGATTCAGTGTGTCTGTGGGTGGGGCTTGAGAATTTGCATTTTTAATAGTTTCCCAGGAGATACTGTTGGTCTAGGGACCACATTTTAGTCTAACACGAGAGCTTTTAAAACTCCTGATCAAGCCAAATACCAGTGAATTAAATCAGAATCCCTGGGAGTGGGATCCAAGTATCAGTCTTTGGAATCACTTGGGAACTTGTTTAATGTATTCATAAATCTGGCAAATCCTCAGATTCTGATTAATTTGTCTGGGGTATGGCTTGGACACTGATACCTTTTCACAGCTCCCCAGGGGATTCTTCTAATCATGTGTCACCACCCTGAAGGGTCCCAGAACCAGGTGGATGGTGATGTTATGTGCTGAGATACATAGAACTGTTCTTTCTCTCTACCATGGTTTCAGAGGTCATCTACCTCAGAGGAGCTTGCTGTCATTGTCCTGGGCATGTGAGACACTTAAAGCATCTGGACTAACAGGAGCTCCCTCCTTTTTCTTTCTTGCTATAAAGTCATAATGATATACAATTTCCAGGGAGCTAGCTGTTAATTCAGTCCCGATAAGAATACAGTAGAAAGTGTCATTACTTAGGAATAGCTACTCCCTCATGTATCCTCAGTGCCTAGCACAGTGCCTGACCCATAGAAAGCATGAAATACCTATGTATTGATTAAATGAAGTACTTTATGAAAATGAGAAATTTATGAAAAATGAAAAAAAAATCAGAAGCTTTGGAACTTTAAATATTAGTAGAAGCCAATGAGTTCAGTAGATCTCAATGTTGGTTGTGAAACGTGAGGATTTTGATATGGGTCCTGTTGCAACACACGAAGGTAAACTCAACATTGACCCAACAGCTTCCAGGCCATGAGGAAGCAAAGACGTGATTGCAAGCCCTTGAGGAGTTGCAGGGGCAGTCTTGTCAGGGAGAGCATGTCCTGTGTAAGCAGTCATGTTCCACATGCTCCCATGTTCTCCAGCAGGGCATTCTTAGGATGCAGCCAGTGAATTCACAGCCACGATCCAGGTTATGCAAGAAATGTCACTTCTCTTTATCTCCTTAAATTCTACTCTGAACCAACAGTCTTCCTAGTCAATGGGAAACTCTAATATCTTTATTGGGAGTCACTCAACTCTTCTGACCCACCCTGGAGGTGTGTGTGGGGTTTTAGGTGGAGTTAAATATTTGGGGAGGTCCCTTCTGGTTTTAGCTTATCCTCTTTACCTGTAATAAGTCTATAGGATGCCTTGAAATTGGGAAGCTCAACTTCCATCCTGTGCCTGGGCATGAAAATTTTCACTGGTGCTGGAAGTCTGGGTGTAACCAGGGCCCAGCCTTCCTGGGTGCACCACATAGTCATTTCCCCAAAAGTCCTGCCAAGTCTTCTGGGCTCTGTTGGGACGTGGGTTAATAATCCTATGACTCAGGATCCCCTCTCTTTCTTTTTGTACTGAAATCATGTCCTCTCTGTGTTTCCTCCTTCTACTCACCTCCTTTGGGCACTCACCAATCTCCCTCCACCAGGATGCCTAGAATCATCTTCTTGGTGATCTCAGCATTTCACTAAAGTTAGGGAAGGGTGCTGCCTTTCAGGAACTTTGACTCTCTGCTCTGAAAACCCTTTGAAGACAGAAAACAAAGGCCTGGCTACCTTCTCAGACAGGGGGATGTTCAGATTCCAAGGCACAAAATACACTATTGTTCTTATACTTCTTCAACTCATTAATATCTCGGTAAATTATCTTGCCACAAGCTGAAATAGGATGCCTCTCCCAGCATCAAACCATTCTGGATGTCAGTGTGGTATAAGTCCCCAGAGCTTCTGTGGCTGCAGTGGGGCTAGTCCTCTAATCCCCTTGGCTGTGTCAGTAAGGGAATCTCCACTGATTTGGAAAACTTGCAAACATAATGATCGCAAATTTTGCAAGTGAACATCTGCACAGCTCTGTGGAATGTTCCAGAACCTTTCTCTTAACATTAAAATGGCATTTCATCTGAACATCTCTTAGTAACCAGAATTGTTCTATTCAAAGGCAGTACAATCTAATTCTCTCTGCAAAACAGGCCAGATTACACTAATGAATCTCTTTAGATGGAAAATTTATCCTATTTTTGATGTCATTCATAACTCTGGCCGCAATAAACATTTACTGAGTGTCTACTGGGTGCCAGGTCCTGAGGACTCAAGGAGAAAGATCCTCAAGGAACTCAGTTAAGAGGGAAATAGCAACAAACTTTTATAATATGAGGTGATAAAATATGAATAAAAGGCTTTAAAAGCATGGTGGAAAAGCCAATAGAAAATTCATAGAAGAAATGACATTTGATCTGGGTCGTGAAGGACACATGAATATTTTTCAGGTGGGGATGAGAGAGAGGGCATTCCAGGAAGAGAAATGGCCAGGACAAAGGGACAAGGGCAGAGCTTTGCAGATTCCCATGTAGTGTGTGTGTGTGTGTGTGTGTGTGTACCAGCGTGTGCATAGGAAACAGGGAGTAGGAGCTGGTTGGAGTTGATTTTGAGGAGGAGAGCAGGAAATATAAGAAGTTTCTTTAAATCTAACCTAGTTTTATAACTAACACATAAATCTCTCACATAGCCTCTTAGATACCACTAGTAACTGCTGGGACTACTACCACAGAGATAACATTTGTTGTGCTCTTATTACTAGGTGGGAAGTTAAATGTATTTGGGGGATTGTCTCATTTCATCCCCACATCTCTATGAGTCCTTTCTTTTGTTATCCTCATTGACAGATGTTCTCCTGTCTTTTCACATCTGACTCTTGTGTTCTTTTTTTTTTTTTTAAGATTTTTTATTTATTCATTAGAGACACAGAGATAGAGAGAGAGAGCATGAGCAGGGGGAGAGGCAGAGGGAGAGGGAGAAGCAGGCTCCCCGCTGAGCCAGGAGCCCGAAGTGGGGCTCGATTCCAGGACCCTGGGATCATGACCTGAGCCAAAGGCAGACGCTTAACCTTCTGAGCCACCCAGGTGCCCCTCACTCTGTATTCTTACAAATATTTCAGGTACCTAAGAGACTCATGTTTCTGTGTGACTGGCTTATTTCTTCAGAGTCATAGAATTTAAAAAAAATTTTTTAAAGAAGGTCAAAGGCTCTGCTTTGAGGCCAGCTGACATCACCCAGCACTGTGTCCACTTAAATTTGTTGCTACACCACTGGATGTTTTGACCTCACCATGTTGACCCCTCTGTTTTGACTATAAGGATTCTTGCTCCTGCTCTCTCTCTCTTTTTAGGATTTATTATTTATTTGAGAGAGAGAGAGAGAATCTCAAGCAGACTTGGTGCTGAGCATGGAGCCCGACGCAGGGCTTGATCCCACGAGCCTGAGATTATGACCTGAGCTGAAATCAAGAGTCAGACACTTAACCAGCTGAGCCACCCAGGTGGCCCGCTCCTGCTCTTTTGACCTTGAAACCATTTTGATTCCAGTGCTTTTATTTAGAATTATACCAACTCAGGTGAACTGTCTATCCAGAAAGTGTTTTCTGGAGTGAATTCCATTAAGCCAATTTAATCCCTTACCAATTTTGTCCAGAGCAGTTAGATCATCTCCAAAAATGTTAACTCTACTGAAATCATTTTCATTTTCAACTCTTTCCATTTAAAATTCGAAACACAAATTGATGTATTGGCGAGGTATTATCTATAAAATTTTATTGATCCTGGCTTGTACTTTGTGTAATAGTCATCATTTCTATCAAGTCCATCTTTTTCTTCTGGGTCGAAATTTGCAGATCTAAATGTTTTTTATTTTTATTTAGTTTTTAAAAGATTCTATTTATTTATTTGACAGAGAGACAGCGAGAGAGGAAACACAAGCAGGGGGAGTGGGAGAGGGAGAAGCAGGCTTCCTGCCAAGCAGGGAGCCCGATGTGGGGCTTGATCCCAGGGCCCTGAGATCATGACCTGAGCCAAAGGCAGACACCTAATGACTGAGCCACCCAAGTGCCCCTATCTAAATTTTTTTTTTTTTAAAGATTTTATTTATTTATTTGAGACAGAGAATGAGAGACAGCATGAGAGGGAGGAGGGTCAGAGGGAGAAGCAGACTCCCTGCCGAGCAGGGAGCCCGATGCGGGACTCGATCCCTAAATGTTTTTTTAAAAAAGTTTGATTCTGGGGTGCCTGGGTGGCTCAGTTGGTTAAGCCTCTGCCTTTGGCTCAGGTCATGATCTCAGGGTCCTGGGATCGAGCCCTACATCGGGCTCCCTGCTCAGCAGGAAGCCTGCTTCTCCCTCTCTCTCTGCCTGCCACTGCCCCTGCTTGTGCTCTCTCTCTGTCAAATAACTAAATAAAATCTCTTCAAAAAAAGTTTGATTCTCCTGTCAATTTGTAGTCAATAACAGGGTCTGTTCTGTGCAATTTTAGCTATTACCAGTTTTATTTAGCATTTATTATTTATGCCAGTAATTTATAAATCAACCGATTGCAAATTGAATTGAAATAGTGACGTTTTATATTTGTTTCTTATTCATGGGGAATTGTAAAAATTTTTGTATGCATGTGTGTGTGAAAAGAGAAAGATTAAAAAAAAAAAAGAGGGAGAGGGATTGATTGATTGAGAGAGGAGGGGCACCTGGGTGGCTCAGTTGGTTAAGCGCCTGCCTTTAGCTCAGTTCATGATCCCGGGATCCTGGGATCAAGCCCTGTGTCAGACTCCCTGCTCAGTGGGCAGTCTGCTTCCCAGTCTTCCTCTCCCTCTGCCCCTCTCCCCCTGCTTGTCTTCTCTC